AAGGAACATGACAAATAAAACAGATAGATGTATTATGATAATAAGTTATTTTATAAATTTTCGCCGTCATCGCTGTCGCTATCCTGTCCCTTTCTGTAAAACATTTATTATAAAACACACACACTGATTGTTTATCGATTTTTGTGTTCATCACTACACTATTATATGTGGTATCATTATTTCACAAAATGACAGTAGCTATTGTCAAATCTGGAATCTAATTAAAATTCTGACTATAGAAATGGACGTAGGTTTTATTATTTTTTCTACATCGTTATATGAAGAAAACAGATATTGTTCGTTACTATGGAGACCAATTTCTCAACCTTATAGGCAGTTACTAGTATTCAAGTGCTCTAAGTTGGTAGGATAATTTTATCGCTTGTATTAAGTAAGTATATTAACAAGAATTAGGCTGATCGGATAACGCTCGTCACAAATTATAGCTCTAATAGAAACCAGTTACTTGACTGGGTCAGTCAGTGCTTAAACTGATTACCCTGCAATGTTACTTGATTGAACTCCTTAGTTAAACGTAATTCTATTTGAATAGATAACGAGAATTATATTTAAACGAATGTGTAGCAATTTAAGGAAGAAAAACGTGCACCAGTTCTGGTGCTTTAGACACTTAAAAATGACCTGACCGAAGTGGTTAATTTATTGTCAGGAGATGCCTATTAACCTATGGTATGCGGGTACGTATACGTATACGCGAGACACAATGTTTTTTCTATTGTGTATCATATGCACATAGAGGTAATAGGCAAACTTTTTCATCTGTCTCTAAGTACATCTACCGAAATTATTCATTGGTGCCGATAAAGCGAAATACATAGATAGGTCAAAGTCAAAGCATTTATTTCAGTTAAACCATAATTTGGTACTTTTAAAACGCCAACAAATGTAGTTGACTAATTTTATAATGCATTTCCGAGTTATTGAAGATGCAGATGCATTTAATAGATATAATTTAAATTGTTAATTATGACAGAATAAATAAATAATGTATGTAGAGCTTTTTTAAATTATGAATGGACTGACTGTTGCATAACTGTCTATGTAGGTATATTAATACGAACAATACTTTTTTAAGAAGAACGAATGTGGTAGTATGATATTATATATGTATAGCCTATTCGACTATCTATATAAGCATGTACTTAGTCTTACGATCAACATTAATAACCGATCTAAAATCTTTAGATTAGAATCGGGTTTTCACATAAGGTGCTTCTATTGTATGCATTTCTGTTAAAAATCTACATTAAGTGAAACAGTAAATTTATTTCTGCAAATAGTCTACAAGGCAGCACTTTTCCACGTCAATTTTATCACGCGAACGATGAGACTGACTCTAACTGACTACTATGAGAAAACATTTCCTAACTATCTACGCTGAGATGAAAAAAAGAGATTGATCCAGAGAATTAGGATGGGTTTTAAATTGGAACCTCGATTAGATTAGACATATTCAGGATCAAAATTTATGATATCATATCATACAAGATCTTTTACATTCTTTAACAAAGTCAATATTAAAAGTCAAAGCATTTATAACAAACAATCCTTAATTAGGTACCTTTGAAACGTCAAAATTGATCTGGCCGTCCGTCTGTTTGTCAGTGAAACTAGGTGCTCGTTCCAAAGTGTACTTTTAAATGGAGAAGAACGAGCAAAAAACTCTATCGACACTCTTTTAAATATTTTTTTACAATGATACTTTATTTGACCGTTTGACTATTGTGAACATTATTTAAAACAGTTCTTGCCTGTTGTAAATAAACTTAAATTAATTATTATCATTATGACAATCTTCACATTTGCATTAATTACAACGAAACGGAAGTACCTAAGACAATATCAAAACTTCCCATGAGTCATTTACAAGCATTGTCAGAATGCTCATAAAAGAGTTTTTCTACAACACTCGGTTGTAATGTTAAATATTCATTCATCTTTAGTTCCTCTGCCTTTAGTCAAGTGATCGCAAGTGTGATACTCCAACACTACGTCTCACCTAATAACTATAATTTACCACAGCTTTTCATTCAAAATTCATACAAAAGTAATCTAGAAACAATTGTAATAAGGTCTGTATTAACAGTGAATGAGAGAGGATACCATGTCCTCTTGGCTTCATCTGGTATCATAAGTTCGAGCAAAGTACCTTTATCTTTATTGGGTTTCTATCGACCTTTATAATCCAAAAACATCTGCATCAATTGAAGATTTTGACAGAGACCTAGAGCATATTTTTTTCATTTCTTAAAAGATCTTCTTAGTTGATAATTTTTTAAAAGATTTTGATTAGAGCTCGGTTAATCATTGTTACTGCCAATTTACATAGCGTAGATTATAAAGATCGAAATCGTACCTCGTAGTCATCTTTGACTATGACCCTATTGTAAAAACTAAAAGAATATGGCTATTCTTCTTTGTAGCTTACTATATCTACCTTAAGTGAATAAACAGGTGTGAAACAGTTTAATGCATGAATTAACAGAGAAAGTTTAATCAGATAATTTTAAACCGATTTTAATTCACGAAGTAACTACATAACATATTACTTAAGTTCAGTGTGTATTACAGACTAATTAATATCGAGTACACGCAATCGCTTCCGTTACATACACATGATACGATTTGATAATAAGCACCAAATATTAAAAAAGTATTAAGTAGTTTAGTAGTGAGAATTTAACAGGTTAAATAGTAATCATGTTGCCTAATTACTTCTTACAACAATTAAATAATAACTAACAGGTTACATTTACAACTACATGATCTGATCAGTTAGTAAACTTATATTTCAATGGGCTCATATTTTTGGATAACGTTAGCGAATTACCTATCTTTTCTTCTTGAAACAAACCGTGTTTTAATGCAATCATCCCCTTTTTCATTTATCAATTCGTCTAGAATTCTAACTGCACGCAACCTCAGTATTAACATCCAACAACAAGCATCCAATAAGAGTATTAAATTAATTATCTACGCAACAGCAACTACAAGACAATAGGCGCTGCCATCCATCTTGTGACAATTAGAATAATTTCCTGTCCTATCTCTGTGACATGAAAAGTGAGCCTACTAGGAACTATGAGATCGCCTGCCATCAGTGTATTACTTCACCAGCTTTCACTACGACCGCTACATACGTAACCTTTCTACGACCTCGCGAACTATCACGAATGTTATGCAACAAGCGTTGTAAAAATTCTGTTGTTATTGATCCGATTTTTTTTGTGTGCTAAATGTTGTTTTTTGAATATTCATCATTCTATTAAGATGTTAGTTTTGTTTTGTGAGCTTAGAGATCTAAGATATATCTATGGACTAAATAAAGTAGATGAGGAGTTTAATAATATTTATAATAATGTTGCTAGGATTGTATAGGATATAGAGGAAATGAGATCGAACACAATAGTCTTGATTGTTATATAACTTGAAGCAGATCTTCATTTGTAACCGAGGTTGGATGTATCATACAAAGCCAACTTATTTTGACCGCGTGAACTCAATAAGCCGATCACGTGCATGGTTGGCAAGGTTAAAACAAAGTATTATCCTTGTCGGTCATTTGAAATAACTAAAATTGGCAAAAAGCTCAGGATTGTTGACGACCACGTACTAATAACAGGTTAAGATTCTAGTTTTTGTTCAATTACAAGCACGTGAATACAAAACGTGGACCACTGATGTGAAATACTATACGACTTAAATATAATCCGTCAAAGATAAGACAAGAGCGTAAACGAACGATATGAAGCATCGTAGAAGCAAAATTTGGACTCAAAGAGTTCGTAAGTACCTACTAATTTAATAGAATATCGATTTCAAAGCCCCTTTTCAACAGACTTCAAAAAAAAGGAGGAGGTTCTCAATTCAACTGTAGGTTTTTTTTTAAATAAGAATGAAATAGTTTTTTTATTTATTGATAGAATATGATTAGTTGTTGTCGAAGTGGCTGATTGATATAATGGCACTAGCAAATGATAGACACCCATTGCATGCATATGACATCAGTTCATTAGCAGAGTTTGTGCAAATGACAAGGACATTGCGAACTATAGTTCACGAGTGGTAATAGAATCGCTATAATGACGCCCCCATAAGTTATTAACAATGTAATCAAGTTTAATTGGTTGATTCGCGGCCAAGTTCAAGATGGCAGTCTTTAAAAATCTGGTTGAACATCAGACAGGTCAATGACAAGGGTTTCATGGCATAATGGAGTTATTTAGAAAAGGTGAATAAGCTTGTCTAATATTGATTTCTATGAAATGATAAAGACGATGATTGCGATCAAAATATATATCGTGGTCACGAAGATTCAATGAATTGACAGGCTGACAAACTTATTTAGAATATTGGGTTTCAAAACTATCTGTACGTAGATCATAAATAAATATATGTTGTATTTGACAATGCAATACCATTTTTACTAAGTTTACACGGTACAATAATTTCAAAATAACAATAATTGAAGATTAACTTGATACTTCTACTAAGTAGAACCCTAAAATAGGAGGTTCACATCATTAGGCAGATGATTACGCGGACATTGAATGGGTGTCATGTTGCAGCATCATCCGTTCTTCTTAACAAAAAGCATGAGTCCGCTGGCCTTCGATACGTTGGACATAATGTGTGATTAACACTTAATATCGACTCACTACTGAATTCTTAGTCTCATGTCATCTGTTACTTTCAAGGTGTATTGTGCGGAGGGAAAATTCAGTGTAAGTAGGACTTGTATTTTGGAGCCGGTGTTAGAGTTGCATACATTACTAGAAAATGTTAACTTTTTGCTGGTATAGGTGAAAATGTAAATTTTCTTTTACCATACCAAACAACGTATTAATTATAATCCAAAATTTACAAATATTTTCACCATGAGTTTCGGCTTAGATCAGGCTAATTTTGCATATGAATTAAAGAGTCTGACTAGTCTGAGAGGATTCGACTGCACTGAATTTATTAAAACAGACACGAATCATTGAACCTTTCAAAATCTAGCTTGAATGCTATTATTAATAAATTGATGTGCTAATGTGTTCTTTTTTACGATTCTCACTCAAACCTTGACCCCTCAAAGTTTGTATAAACATTTGCGAAAAAACGAGATAGTTTTTGTTGCATTAAAGACTTTGAGAACATTTGTTAATATTTGTCTCTCAATATAATACGTGTTTCATTTTGCAAAATAGTTATCAGTACTTCTCGGTAAGTAACAACAAGATTATCGATTATTTTTTAAATGTCATGTTACAGTTCAAGGAGTACCACAAGGTTGTATACTGTGCCCTTTGTTGTTTTAAAGTCCACTTACTTTGTTTCCGTTGGCTGTGCTGATGAGATCGTCCATGATAAGCTGTCCCCAGGCGGCCAGCATGCTGGTCACATAGTCATGGTCGGATGCTGAAGTCAGCTGAGCAGATGCATGTACAGCGAGGGCAGGCTCCGGTAGGTAAGGCGTTGTAAGTGGTTGTGAGACACCTTTAACAAAAAAACATGTTTAATTCATTCATTCTACTTAATAAACATACATTCTATGTAAAGGGTTCGCAAATTAAAACTCTTCCTTCAAAAATCTCAATGTTAACCTTAACAAGATAACGATTATTGCAAAACGGGTAATTACTATTGGAGGTATTGATCATTAATTTTGTAAATTATTTTCTACCTGCCAGGATCCTCATGGATGACCAGGTCCTTTCTAAATATCACTTAGACTTTAATATGAAATTGATTCGCGTTGATATTAATTTTGATTAAAAATTAATAGGTACTTCTGCAAATGGATGAACATTATCAAGAATGGCTGTATCAAATGATGTAAATTATAAATATGTTAGGTTCGTTAATTTTATTAAGGACTTAGCTTGCAAATTGCCAATTATTCTAAATATCCTAACTAGCATCTCATTCTTTAACTGTTGAGCAACAGCGAATTCATGTGTATACTTTAACAGGAATTTTAATAAGCTATTTAGGTAAACTATTTATGATGTATGTCTGTGTGTTAAGCAACCAGTTGCTACTTTGCTAGTCTTTGCTATAAAAAAGCACATTTATAAAAAAATATAAAATCTATTATATTGTACTTATTTATTTATATATATATATTATTTAAGTTGTAAAAGAAAAATGTTTGGGATGATTAAACCGAAAAAACCGAAAAACAGAATACATTTCAAATAATTGAATAAAAAAAATAAGACATCATTAAGTGTCCATATGCGGTGAACATATTTAATTTATAAGAAAAAATATAGACAGCTTAATAATAACCTACATTTGTTGACCGATAACAACTAATAATTAAGTAATTTGTAAAACTTGTTAATGTATCGGTTCAATCGCTTGGAAATTCTTAGTTCCTATTGTTCGTGATGCCTTCGCTTCCGCGTCTCGAAGGAGACAAATCACCCACATTTAATTAATGGTTATCTCACTCGATCTCTTAGAGCTTATTGCTGCGACATGACGTTTGTTATTCGTTTTCTCTTTGGGGCTTAAGTCTCGTAAGGTTGTGACATGAAGTTCTTGTCAAGTCGTGATATGAACAAGAAAGTTTTACTTGATGCGCACGTGATGAGATGACATAACCCAAAAGATAAAAGGGAATCGTATAAAGGGTCTATTTAAAATTTGGATATACATGCTTTTAGAGCAACTGAGTGATTTGTTTTTTGTTCTGCAGTATACACTAACTTGGCAACCAATTTGATTAATCCACAGAATAAAGAAATACATCACACACAAAAAGGCGAGTTTAATATTGTCCACCGGAACAAATCTAGACTGGGTGCTACGACAAGACTTATGAATAGTACCATTCGATTTTTGTGTAAAATTGTTTTTTTTATCAACTAGGCAGTGGGTAGCAACATCATTATTATTCATACAAAAGCAAATAAACTACAAACTAAAGCTTTATTTGCCGTAATGACATAAGCTGATTTACTGGTATTTATAAACGCTCGAACACTGTTTCTATGAATAGTACAAATCATTGTCGTAACTTATGAATGCGATGTAAACATTGGTGATGTAACTGCTAAGATCGGAAGCTGGCAAGATGATTTCAGTTAGATAATAGATTGTTCAATAATTTCGGAGCAGCTAGAGTGCATCGAACCTCAAACTCATTAAGAATAACTCAATCAGTTTCGCTCTGAAGGATCGGGTGCCTAAAAATCATTGAAAAACATTATTTGGAGTTTACTTTTAGTTTTAGGCTTTAAGTCGACTTTGAGTGTGACTTACAAGTGGTACGAACAACAGTAGGCACCTATTTTAGTAAACTAAAGAGTAACTGCTATATGGCCTTCACAATTCATAGGAGGGAAACGATACTTTGTTAAACAACGAGAAGGTAGGTAGAAAAGCTTCTTCATAACTACACAACTATTTTAATGTAATTGTAATTAGTAGCTACATCATTTTTACATATGACTTTGACTATAAAAAAATTGGACTGAGGGTTTCCCCTATTGCAAAGAGCTCTGTAGACTTCCCCTACTGAAGTTATTTTAACTTCAAGATATGAAGCAGTCTAACCACATAGCTGCAACATTTGCTACAGAGTTCTTATAAAACCGCGATTGCCTATACGATTGTTTGCAAAATAAAGGTCGCGATAGAAACCGTAACAAATACTATTTCTACAATAGCAGCTACATAGTTCGTGACTTCAATGTGACCTCAAATAGATGGAGTCTCTGAACTATGCAAATCCGGTATAATATATTCTGTAGATAGATATTAAATAATACCCAGGATGCTAGTAGCCATTCAGCCGCAAATTAATTAATGTTATGAATTTAAAGATCCAAATCAATTCGGTCATTAATATGACCCAACTTCAAAATAATTCCGCCGATTTCCTCTTTGTTTTTTCTCAGCTTCTTGCTAGCAATAATTAGATATCGCAATATTTAGTATCAAATAGACATTACATTTATAAGCAGCAAGGCCATGTTTGCATACTTTTTAAGTATGGAACGTACAAAATAACGATTTAATGTTGCGATTTTTTGAACAGAATTTACCTATATACCTAGTGAGGTTTATTACCATTACATCATTGCTAAGTTTAACCGCGTTAGTTAAACAGAATAGCTTCGCGGAATTTGTGAGTAAATTGTCACCGAGATTGGTAAATCCAATATCGTAAAAAATCGTATGGTGAATTAAAACGTTAAACAACTGACAATTGTACGAATGTTGGTGGATAAACCATTCCACAAGTATCTATTAAGATATTTTTCCTCGTTCGTTTGTTTCGGCGATATAAATAACCGAAATTAAGCACCTTTTAATGACTACCTATTTGGCGTATACAGTACTTTAATACAAGGAGTTATGCATCAGTTCTTCACTTTAATTCTTATTTCTAATGTAATACTGGTCAACTTTTTGTAAAATTAATTGTTTTTTGTATTTAATCGCTTAACGGGGGTAACGGTAAACAATTGAGGAAGAAGTAAGATGACGGAATTCCTTTTTAAATGTAAAACGAAATAAGTAAAAGTGACGAGGCGATGGTCAATGAATCGGGAAGGGTATGCAAGGACACGATTGCTTGCAAAATCTCTGAAGTACAACAAGAATGCTATAATGATTTTTATGTAGTTTTTATTAATAAAGAATGCTGTCAAGAGCTTTTCGACCTACTACTACTGGTTAACCGAAGATATGTAGGATTTTCTGTAGGCTCTTTTTACACTGTGGGCAAAAAGTTAGGTCAGGTAGAGATTAATGCTCATTTCTATAGGCTTCATAACTGAAGCAGATAATATAGAGACAATACAGATAATACAGATAAAATACCTACATAAAACAGTATGTATCAAAATCTTTAGTATAACAATAAGAATATGGGATTAACTGTCCATTTTATATTGAAAGAGCAGATTAATTTTAAACTAAAAGCAACAGTTTCATTCTAAATGTGACTTTGAAGTGGTATTACGAAACCTGAATGGCCAATAAGTTTGATTACGGCCTATAAAGCGTTAATAATATGATATAACCTTTTGCTAACGTATTCTTACAGCGTGCACTAATAGGACGCTTTGTCATTGATCGTGGATTGTAATGATAATGATGTTCCTACACCTAATTGCATAATACTTAAGTCTAGCGTGAATACTTGTGATTTGTTCGCCGTTGATGCTAGCAATTTAAACTTATCTGTTAAAATAATACATGGTCTTTTGATAATTGCAGGTAAAATACCGGTTGGGTTAAAAACTGCTTATTGTGTTTTATCCGATTTATCTAAAGAAGATTGCAGCTGTTTAGTAAGGGGTTTCGGGTTGGATTCCTCGGTCAGGTTAAATGAAATCAGGAAGGTACTCGGACTTTTAAAAATGTTCACCAGTAGTAATGAGTCTCGAATAACTCATAAGATAATTACATTGTAGCTGTTTTGGACAATGTTTCTGTCACTACATGCCTATTGACGAATTTTTATGGGCGGAATATTATTAAACAATGGGCGTCGTCACCAGAGGCGATATAAGTGCGTTACCGATCTTTTGAAGATGAGGAATTTGAAGATTGTGGGAGATTCAGTGATTGTGAAGGGGGGGGGGGGATAATTGGTTCACGTCGGTTTGTGTGACGCCGTGATATCACTCCGGTCGAGCTGGCCCGTTCGTACCGAAGCACGGCTCTTCGACACTTAGAATTATACTATATTGTGTTATAGATTGTGTTTTATCCATTTTTAAGGAACTCTTTAAAGTTTATTTTGTTTAATTGTTACGTTTACCCATAAGGTAATATGTTATAATGTTACATAGGTTAGCTTCCTATGAATTAATGATTCAAATAACTGTTTATAGAGGAAACGATTAATAAAGTAATTAACAAAAAAAAAAATTGTTTTGAGGATCATCGCAGCTGATGATTTTATTGAGTGTTAATTGAGTAATCGGTTATTAAGATTCGTTACTATAATTATTTATTGTCTTAATTGGTTTTTACTACTGAATAAAATGTAATTTAGGTACTATTGTATGTTATTTTTAATTTATTTATTTTGGAGGTCGTTGAGTTAATACAGGAAATTTGAATTGATAGTTATATTGTTGTAGTTTTGTTTAAAGGAATAGTAACTTAATTGCATGAATGCATTGCATTGAATTCGAAAATATTTTCAGATTAACTAGTCAGTTTGGTATTAAAAAGCTATGGGTACCTACCAGGTATATTACATTTTATAAATAGTTCTATTAAAAAATGTAGGTAAGTTTCGTTAACTTTGTTATTCCTTTAAACTAAAAAAATAGTTACTTAAACTGTCAAACACCAAGCGGTCACCGGTGACCGCAACCTATTGTTCTATAATTGTGTCTATAATGACGGTACTCGACGAGTTAATATGTTTTGGATGAACCTAAAGTATTACATAAGGACCAAAAATTCTATAAAATAATATAAATAGATACCTAAATGAAACATTGCGCATTTTCCTTCCAACAGAATTTTTCATCACTTAGGGTAACATTCTTTCGTCCTGTCTCTCATAGGACATGAGGGCCGAGGTGTCGGAAGTTTTATAGCCATAATGCGATATTGATACATATCTAATAGACATAATATACTAAATCACACTTACCATCAACATAATTAGCAGGCAGTAGCCTAAGGAAGACATCGCCTCGTCTTCCCCACGGCCTATGTCTGACATTGTTGCATTCCCCGCTTGCACTGCGGTACTTGCTCGGTGGGCAGGGTATCCTACTCGATTCATCTTCATCTGATGTGCAATTGTGCCTGTAAATTAAAAGATGTTAAGAAGGGTTCAGAGAATAAATGAGGTATGTGTGCAGTAAAAAAAGTACATACATACATATTATGTTAGTGATATTATTCCTTTATATTTCGTATCATAAATGTTATATATCGTACTACTTGCTATCTAACTAATTGATGAAAAAGTTAGTAAATAAGATGGTATGTGCAAATGCAAGTAAATTCAGAAATAAACTTCAATCATGTTTGACTTTCGACCATCACAAGTTCGAACTTCTGAATGAATTCATAAAGGAGTTTAGATGCCCAACGTAGAATTTATGACAATCTCATCACGTAAAGATTGAATTCTTTATTGAGCATTGTAGATATAACTTCTGGCCTGGTTGATAATGATGATGAGTAGCATAAGAATAGAGAAGAGGTACTTACGCATCGCTAGCGCCTAATAGAAATCTCTTTTCTAAAGCTAGTGCTTCGCTAACTGCTCTCCTAAGGTCACTCGGTACAGCCTGTATACTGTCATCTCCTTTGATTTTCTGTGCACTCGTCTGTACCGCTAACACAGCCGCTAAGAGCAGCAGACTTCGCCGTAATCTGAAACAAACAGAAGTTTTATTAATATTTTGTTAACCTTCAAGTCCTGACGTGGTTTACTCACACCATAAACGGTGACGTGACGTACGTCAAACACCTTAATAATTAATCGAAATGGATTACTTTTTCTTACTGATTTGCACAATATTTACTTGTATTCTGATCGGTCCATTATAATTCTATTAAGGAAGTGCAAAAAATACAACGTTCTCGGATGAAATCAGCGGTTTCTGATTCAAATTCTATAAACTTAAAATATAAATATTTCGAATAACTTAAAAAAATATATTTTAAAATCTTAGCTACATTCTGCACCACCCAATGGTCGACTGTCAGATAATGCCTACGGCATTAAGTCCGCCAATTACACTGTATGTGCAATAAAGTTAAAAAAAACAAAACAAAAACAATACAATTATTTGGTTTTTTTTTTGGAAAATTCTTATATTCGTGAACACGCCGTCTATGAGACACCCACGTCAGTAGTTAAAGGTTAAACTTATTAATTAACTATCTTGGACCGTAGGCAGCGCGAAGTCGCCGCATCCACGCACGCTGCCCATGAGGCAGAGTCCCACTTTAACTTGAAACTAGTAGAGATTTACTCAATATTGACATGAATAAACCGGCATTTTAAATTTATTGATAAGAGGTTCTGTTTTAGGGTAACTGTTATTGGATCATTCAATTAAGAACTATGGGGCATAGTAACCAAGAAATATATTTTTATGAACCTATACCCTGTAGTATTTGAAGTATGAAATTCGATACATTTCTTTAACTATTATGCATCTCCCAAACAGTGCAAGCAATAAAGGTAGTAAAGTACTTCTAGTAACATATAAATTCTTTCCATTGCACAGTTATAAATCCATCTGTTTTGAAAACACAGCTATTTAATTAGAATGGAATGTGTACCAATAAAACTATAAACTCGACATAAATAACAATAAAGCAGTCACCATGGAAATATTCATTAAAGTTACGTCTGCCACCGTAAGTCGTCATGATCTGTTGATCACTATGAAACTTGTAGGTATTAATATGTCGTTAACCTACATTTAAGAAGTCGATGCCATGTCCGAGTTCAAGGTATATTAAACTTGCTTTATGACAGCTAAATAATACGTTTGTTCCTCGAGTATCTTCCACATAATCACGTCTTGCTTCCATGATGACCCTTGAGTACGTCAATTTTGAGATCTCTTCAATCTTTTATTTTATACTGATATTTACATTTTGCATAAGATGAAAGCTAGGATTTAATATGACGCAAAATATTGCGAATTATCTGCTATTTAAATATAATCTCGATACCTATAACAATAAAAGTTTTTCTATTATTTATTTTATTAATTCAAATGCTAATAATCTCATTAAAAGACAAAACCAGTCGCATTATTAATATGACAATTCGTTTGTTATTTCATTGCACATCCACTTTATAGATAAGCTACTGAACTGTTAATCATTATTTTATTGTACAATCAATAGCTAAGGTTTAATTGCCTTTCGGTTTACGTTTACAGCAATGCAATATTAAGAAAATAAAATTGGAGTGCCGTTATCCATCAACGATAATTTATTCAAAGAAACGATTGATACTTCGCCATAAAGAAGAATTTAACTGCTTAAAGTTACTGCATGCATATTCTTTATATCTTTTATATAGATTAAGTTCATATATAGGAAAAGTATTACTTCGACCGCACGGCCACCACAACTACTTATCTATCTATGCTTTCATTTTTTATCTATGATCTCTTATGACATCTTACCGGTTAAACCATACATCTTACTTTCTACCCACTGGGTTCAGTGTTCCGAAACCAATTAATCAACATTCCTTGTCGTCAAAGGTTACAATGGCGTAGTTATGATGTAATTCACTAAACTTTAGGCGTAGCCACAAAGATTGACGAAGAAAATATTTTAAAATGTTTTTTTTTTATTTTACGTACTGCTTTCATTGATGCATGTTGTTTGACATACCTATTTCGAAACAGTATGCGGCATTGACATTATAAAACACTTTTATCAAAATAAATCAATTTGAGATTGCACTCATGGATTGATTGATCTGTCAGAAGATCGATAAGTTCAACTTTGCGCAGTAAAGAGTTCATTGTTGAACAAATATTATGTGGAATGTGGATTTTAAGGTTAAGTACTAGTATTACAAGTAACTGTTAATGTTTAACATCGAATTATTTAAATTATTATAAGACAAAATAATTGCAAAATAATTTCTTTTGACAAGATAATAAATCACGTATTGGCTCAAAAATAGTAATATAATTAATGAAAAGTAATAACATTGAAAACAGTATAAATTGTACATACATTCCTACATACTTAGTTTATGAAAATAAAATTGATATTCGAGTATTCTTTAGACTTTATAAGAAACTGACAATTCATCAAGCTTGGTACTCTGTTGTGACAATATTAATTTCTGTTTATAAAACGCAACCTCGATTATGGAATTCACAAAATATTTGTCTCAAAAATTTAAATCATAGACATCAAAGATGCTCATACTACGATGATTAGACAGGAAAGAAAGTTAAACAATTATACTTACGTGAGAAACTATCTAATTTACACAACAATTCTTTACGTGTTTTACAAATGGTTTCACCTGTTCTTTGAGCTTTTCGACTGTAAGAATTACACTGGCTTTCAAACTATTTGACATAGTTTTGTACCGAAAACTGACAAAAACAACAAACATTATTATTTTGATAACGTTAGCTTCACGTCTTTTTGTCCTATGTTATGATATAAATACCTTGTAACAGTGGATGATTACACCCTCTCTATATGTACCTAATGAACCTAATGCTATAGTAAGTCTGGGTAAACTTCTAGAATCCATACTATCACTGGAATGTGCTTGAAAAACCTAAAACCCCAATAAGACTTTGCCCAATTTGGGAATCTGAGATTACTCGCGCACCATGACTTGCATTCAATCAGAAGAGGTAGGCTATTCTGTGTATTAAGTGAGGTTAGGTTCTTAGGTATTACTCAAAATGCTAACGGCTGTAGTAGGTACATTATAATGTGGTACATCATACGATACTCACGTAAGTAGGATTTTCGTGAGACACGACATAAAGGACAAAGCAATTACAGCAATACTTAGTTTCTACTTAATTTTGATCTTGAGGTTGTCATCTTTTGCATTGCATCGAAATAACATTGCACAGAGCTTTATTAGAAAATGGCAAATATTTTCATTAGGTTATGTTTATGTGTTCAGTTTGTAATAAATATTCAAATAAAGTACTTATATTTAATGATTATATTAGACTTACAAGATACATTAGATACCTATATAGATTTCTACATAAAGACAATAAAAAATGCAGAAGAAATGCACGTTTAAGATGTCTATGTGCTAGCATTTAAACAGTTAGGTTAGTAGTACCATTTTTTGATTATGTCTTGTGTTCGTAATACCAATAATTATGTAACACAAAGCATGTGGAACAGCCGGTTTTTTTGGTTCCTCTCGCCTTGAAAGGAGCACCAACCGGTTGTATTTGGTTGGCAACGTGCACTGCACGATATGACTAAATGTCACATCGACACTTTCACACTCCCGGATTTTGCGTACAGCGTTACATAAATATGAATGAGAAGTAACCTATCTGTTACTAAGTGTATTTTACATTAAGGCCAAGTACCTATGTATATTTTTCTAAAGAACTATGGAGAAAATATACTTCGCAGATAAAATTGATGGAGTCCGATAAGAATTAGGTGCAATAAATTAATTAAACAATGAAGAACTAATAGGTATGACTGCCGGCTTTGCTTGTCATAATTATTACAAGTAAAACATAAGTAGGTCGTAGATATAAAGTCCAGTGTATAAGTAATTCATCATCTACATTACATTACTTTGTGGATATTTATTACCCATCTTGTCAATACAAACTGACGTGTGAAATACATAACTACGTAACAAGATGAACTAATGATTCCAAGATGTAAATTATCTACGAAAGCTATATGAAAACACTTCATTTATTACCTTACGCAATTGTTTCAAGCCTTTGTCAATGTAATTGTTATAAAACTAAGTAAAAACGCGGGTTACTCACGTGAATATATTGAGAAAAGCTCTACTAGTTTCGAACCACAGAGGGGTTCTTCCTCATGAGCAGCGTGCGCGACGTCGCCGCGACCGCGCACGCTGCTCATGAGGAAGAACCCCTCTGTGGTTCGAAACTAGTAGAGCTTTTCTCAATATATTCACGTGAGTAACCCGCGTTTTTACTTAATTTAGTATGTCTCACGATAGTTGTTATAAAACTTTTCAATAACGTTATAAGTAGGTTAGGTTAATTAGTGAACATGTCACATTACGAACTGGGAACGTATACAATTAAAAACAATTGCGTATAAATCATTTTGACGTTAATTGACGTTTGGTAAAATTTAAGGGATTGAAGGCGGTGTTTGGTTGAATATTAATAAAAGCAAATGCTGAGATAAGGTCTTATTTTCATTGGAATCAGCTTTCAAAATGTATGGCAAAAAATAAAATTTATACATTTCCAAGAAACGGTATTAAATCAAAATTAATCGGTATAAGATTCCGATATAAAAGTTACAAATAATTGTAACACTAGCTACACATATTAATTAGTAATACCAAGAGCTTTTTGAAGGTCTCTCAGCTAACTAATTAGCTAGATTTCAATGCCAAACAACAGACAATACTATAACACGTACTACAAATGTAACTTAAAAAAAATGTTCTAATCATTGGAACTACGCACCCATATAAAGCGAAAGTATTGTCAAGTTACGTGACTAAAAAGTTTGAATACTTGAAATGGATATCGTTGGACCTACTGTATGTTGGACAAGGTCAGCTGTTTCGAAACTTCAGCAAAAATAGTAACACTGGATGGGACATGACGACAAAGAATGTTGATACTATTTCGTACATTCAATGCTGGTCTCATTACGCGGAGTTTGACCTA